ATAAAACTAAAAAAATCCATAATATATAGTCAGGCGCTCAGAATAAAACGAATTTGCTCCACCAATACCGAATTTGATAAACATATTAACACTCTCATCCACAAATTAAGACTCAGCAATTTCCCCATGAAACTGATCAAACCATTAATTATTAAGGCCTCGTCTAAATCACGCCAGCAACTCCTTGAATATAAAGCCAAGTCGAATTACATTCGCATACCCCTCGACTACAACCCCCAAATCCAACATCTCGCCAAAACTATCACCCAAGATTTTCGCATTCTTTCTGACTGCACTTCATCAAATTCAGAAGCACTCAAATCACCACCTCTCATAGCATACCGACAACATCCTAACCACTAATTCACTACTAACTTCATCTAAACTTCCCACTATCACCCCTAAATTTGGTAATTACCCTTGTGGTAATTCACGATGCCAAATTTGTAAGCTTCTTATTACCGACGACACCATCAACATCCGCCACTTAAACCATACACCCACTATCGCTCACTTGCAACGCCTCAAATGTCATATATCTTATTTGGTGTACCCAATGTATGGATACTATATACGCCGGGGAAACTGGTTGCAAATTTAGATGCAATAATCATAAAAAATCTATTAGAGACAATACACTAGGCTTTCCTGTAGCTAAGCATTTTAACCAAGCCAACCATTGTATCTTTAACCTTAAGTTCATTTTAGTAAGTACAGGTTTCAATTCCCTCACCGACAGACGTTGTTGCGAATTGAAATGGATCTTAAAATTAAATACTCACAAAAATGGCGTAAATAAAGATTTAGGATTTCTCCCAGATTACACTTTTTATTAATCAATGCATTCATCCATCTTGATACATTTTATTCATCCTTTATTCACTATTTAACTTGTTATATTTCATTTTCATTGGCTCAGGCTAGTGATATCATAGGCCTACATTCGGCTGATTAGCCCTTTCGTTTATCTTTATTTTCTTTGTTCTTACCGCCCTTTATAATCCGGTTTAATTATACATATCATTTACAATTTATCTTAGTCACTGCTATATTAATAATAATAATAATTTATTTCGGAAAAACGCTTTTAAAACAGCGGCACCCATTACAATAATGGTGCATCCAAAGTAACAAAATGAAATGTACAAAGAAAGTCACAAAACCAAACAAAGGAATATACAATAAAAGAGCATGAAGTAAAAAGTCTAACCAAACCATTAAGGCACTCATCACAATAATGGTGCTTCAAAATTAACAGAATAAAATACATAGTGAGATGCAAATCAATAAAAGGGAAGTACTGTACACACAAAAAAAAAAAAATTTAAGTCACATAAAAATAATAATAATATCAATAATAATAATAATAATAAAAATCATAACATAGCACCATTTTTAATCTCAATTCTTTTTGCCCATGCCTTCTTAATATAAGATTTACAAAAATCATTAAAAATCAAATGTGCCAAGTCAATTAAGTGATTGGGTAGATTAGGAATAAACTCTGTGCAGTCTCCGCCTAACATAAGGATAAGAAATGCATCAGTATCCTTTGTAAGGATCTGATTACATAACTCAGATAAGCCTGAGTCATAAAGTTTATTCACTAAAATTTCGTGCTCAGATAACCGAACTTCTTCAAGCTTATTACAAATAAACAGAAAATGTCGAAAGTCTTCAATACCATTGTTACACAGTAAGCATGTACCAGGATTATTATTATCCCACTTACTAGCTTTTATTTCAAGTTGAAGTGATTTAGAGCGTGCCTTAAACTTAAGTTGAGCACCATAAAAATCAGTTTTAGTTAGGAGGTAACTTTCCATTTTAGGAATCCTTTTAAATTTAATATAATCAGAGAGGGATGATTTTTCGCTGGTTTTATTAAGCCAATCAACTA